AAAAAAAAAGTTGTACACTAAAGTTTGCCTGTTAGACCACTAGAAAACTACAGACCAGGTCTCCTTGGCTTGTTTACTTTCTGTGACTCTCAGCCAGGGTAGCCTTGACTGGTGGATGAACCTTTCACATTCTAATAAAAAATTACTTATGATGGCAAAATATACCACTAATTTCTCAGCTCCTGACCTGCCCTTCCTGCAGCCTCAATGCCACACTTGACTTCAATGTATGATTGTTGAAGAAGGATGGGCAACTTTTTTCTGTGAAAAGCCAGATAGTAAAATATTTCAGGCTTTGTGGACCAGCAGGTCTTTGTCACAACTCAACTCTTGACAGAGTGTGAATGCTGCTACAGACAAAGCATAAACGAATGGTGTGCCTGTGTTTTAATAAAACTTTATTTATATGACACGAAATGTCATAAAATCTTCACGCATCAGGACATAGTCGTCTTCTTCAGACTTTTTTTTCCCCAACCATTTGTTGATGTTGTTGTTATGTGCCTTCAAGTTGCCTGTAACTCACACACAGCAACCCTATGTACAACAGCTCTGAACCTTGCCCTTTTCCTGAGCCGATCTCACGGACTCTGACACACTTAACTCCATTACTCCCATTATCAATCCATCTCATCCAGAGTCTTCCTCTCCTGCACTGTCCCTCCACCCTTCTGAGCATGGTATCTCTCTCCAAGGACTGATCCCTGCTGGTCACATGCCCAAAGTATGTGACATGGAGCTTCAAAATCCTTGCCTCCAGGGAACAGCTTTGGTTTCACCCTCTCTAGCACTGACCTGTGTGTTCTCCTGACAGTTCATGGTATGTTCAACACTCTTCTCCAGCATCATAACTCAAAGGCATTGATTCTTCTTCTATTATTCATAGTCATTGTCCAGCTCTAGGATGCACAGGAAGCAACTGCAAAGACCATAGCCTGAACCAGATGTACTTAAGTCTTTAGACTGATATTCTTGCTCTTCAGTATTCTGGAGAGGTCCCTGGCAGCTGACTTCCCAACACATCTTCCCAACCATTTAGACATGTGAAAAAAACCCTTTTATTTCATGGGCTATAGAAAAACAGGCATAAATCCTAGAAGATATACCTAGCAGAACACCTGGTAAAACCAGGACTCATCAAGTAGTTTGTGATTTGATAGGAAGAAGCCATGTGAAGAAGTTGCTGCCCTGGACTTTCCCTGTCCTTCAACTGGCTCCTTGCTATGGAGGAATGGATGGAGCAATATTTCCAACACCACCAGGGACTTTGACCCAATCTTGCAACCAACTGGCCTTTTCTGCATGTCTGCCCACTATTTCCCAAGAGCTCTGATGACCTAGTGCTAAGAAATTGTGCTGCAATCCCAAAGGCATGTGGTTCAAATTCATGACCTGCTCTGAGGAAGGACGGGTAATCTCCCCTGCCATTTACTGCCTCTGAAAACCTGCTGGAGGGTCAGCTATGGGTTGGTTCTGACTCCAGGCACACAACAACAATAATGCTGACAGCAGGGGGCTTCAGTCAGGAGAGGAAACCTCACCTTCCCCTCCTGTGACTGAGTCACATGCCCTGTGATGCAAGTAAAAATTCTATCAGCCCCGTCATATCCATGCATTGAGAGATGTGAGGTGTGGGATCCCAGTGGAGCTTTCTCTTTCACATTTTCAGCATCACCTTGTGGAAGAAAACAAGACACAAAATGACAATATGGGATTGGAATTCTGCAACATAACAGACATCACAAGAGTCTCTGTAATTTATTGAATTATTCAAACAAGAGAGCACAAAGACAACAGTTTCAAGTACATTCCAATACACGTTTTTGACAGGAACAGATATGTATTTAATCATGAGGGAGGGTGGCAGCCGCCGCCACACATACATTTACATCCTCTCTTGGCACCATCAACCTTGGAGAAAGTTGAAGTGAGGGCTTCTCCAGGGCAGGAAGGGTTACAGCAGCCCAAGCTTCTGTGTTTGGTTGCTCTACGAGGTGGCTTTCTTTTTTGAATCCCTTTTTGTTGTCCCCGAACAAAACGAGCTCTGCTACCACACATGGTCAGGAGGGCACTGACCCCTGCCTTCCCAGCGCCAGCAGGGCACGGATCTGAGCTGACATTCCACCTAGACAGGGCTGAAGCACTCTGCCACTGCCATTGGCTCCTTCTACTGTATCAATAACTGGCCACTGTTAATTTGTCAGACCTGTTGGCTTTGACAGTGTATCTGATTTATTTGTGACTGACTGAAAACCAGACTGGATGGATATCAAGGGCCTAGAAACCACTACATGATAGAGCTTGTAAATCACTAGCCTTCAGCATGCTACCCACCTACAGAAGCAAAGACTTTTTTTTTTCTTTTTAGAGACAAAAGCAGAGAGCTACTTCTGCCTAGGGGGCCTGGCCCCAAATAACATTTCATTTCTACAGACAAAGTTGAAGAGGAGCTAATGCCACCTAGCACGCTATTGACGCTGAATAAGCCACATAAGACAAAACAAACTCTTGGCACCAAAGTCCATCCGAGACTAGTGCTTTTTGCTACTGAGGCCAGCCTCAGGCACAGCTTCTCCAGGCCCTGCCCATGGCTGGCTGAGCTCTGCCAGCAAGCTGTTAAGATACAATCTTGGTCTCTGAGACAGAGGCCACTTCCAGACTGGCTGCATCTGCAGGTTCCTGCAGCTCCCCACCCTTCCCAAGACCAAACTGTGAAAGGATCTTGGCCCAAAGCGCAAAGCATGATAATAAATAGTCATAATAAGCCAAAGAATTCAGACTGGCCAACTGTTTATGCTCCTGAGGATAGCTGAGGTCAAGAGACCCACCACCAAAACCTGTAACAGCATCAGGAATGGAGACAAACTGACAGCTGGGAGTGTTGAGGCCAGTGCGCTGCGGCTCAGGCAACAACACAGGCAACAACACGGTTAGGCTCCAGCAGCCTGGGTGAAAAGGCCAGGGAGTGGAACAGGCAGTGAACCAAGAGAGCAGGCAGAGAAATTCACACTCTAGAACTCCAAAGGGAGTTTTTTGTGGAGATTCCGGGGAATCCCCCATAAAAGAGGTCAGCAGATTCTAAGAGGCAACAGCAGGACTCTTTCAGAAAAGGGCTGTGGTGAGGAGCACCCAGGACATTGAGGACAAGTGGCTTTCCACAGCAGTGAGGCAAAGAGACTACATAGCCTGACAGTTACACGCATGGAGCGAAAGGAGAGCGTTCCAGGTGACCACTCTGCCCTCTTCTCAGGCCCACAAAGTAGACTTTGAAAGTTAAGGGGGTGCAGGTGGGGGGACACCACAGTACTCTCACACATAGCACACCCGACCTTGGAGGAGTAGATGCCGTTTCACAACATAAAATACAAGCAGAGCTGAGGTTTCTCCAGTGATGACAATAAACAAGTTAGTTTGTTTACCTACTTTGGTTATCTACTTAAGTTCATCTGAATTCACAGTATAAGCAACACATCTAAATACAATATTGGGGATTCCTGTCAGCAGGAGATTTCCCCACCCCGAACAAAGAAGCCAAATAGACTAAGAAAAAAAAAAAATTAAAAAAAAATGTCGCAACAGTAATTCTTAATTATTATTTACTAACCAGTCTGTGCATGGCACATTTTATTTCTATAAAACTATTAAACTATTACAAAATATTCAAAAATACATTTTAGTAAATTTACAGCAGTTATTTCTCAATTTATTAATGCAAAAACATCCTTTGTTGGTTTTTTTTTCTCTGTACAAACTACAGGCTCCATCTTGTGGACTCATCACTATGTGCGCTTTTAAAAAATATTATTTTCTAATAAATTCTTTGAAGTTAAAAATAACAAAGTTCTTTTTTCCAGTTTGTCCAAAAGCAAAAACAAAAAAAAAAAAGAAAGTGGAAGAAAGAGAGGAAGAGAAAGAATGTGTAACAGTCTTGACTTCCAAGAACGTGGCCATAATGGTGTTTACAAAGCAAATACCAAACCATGAAGATAGTACAAGACATGGCTGTTACATTGGAAACTACGTTAAATTAAAATAATATATCTTCATAATTTACACTATTTCAAAAATGAAATGTAATTCAGTTAAGTATTGATCTCTCAAAAAAATCTAATTTACAATTCTGTGTATAAAAATATAATTTGTGGACCCCCATGAAGTAGGTTTCAGTTGACACGTGCTGAGAAGCAGGAGCATTGCTGAGGAGGAATGGAAAGGTACAGAAGTTTGCTTTCTGACGGTCAGGGCGACGGACGTGTAGAAAAATAGACTCTGAGCAGATTGCGGCCTCACAAAATAATCTTTCCCCCCTGTGGGCACAGTTCACATGATAATAATAAATTATCCAAGAAAACAAACTATTTAAGGCTCTTGAAGGTCCGGTTCATATTATTTAAAACATCTATTCATACCAAACAAATAAATAGCCAGGACAGAAGGGGGGGGGAATAACCAAAAATAAAACAATAACCAAAATATTCCAAAAAAAAAAATATATATATATATATATAAACTAAACACAACAACAGAACTTCCCAGGGTCTTTGTTTCCTTATAGTCTACTTTGGACTGTCCTATTTTATTATTATTATTATTAATTATTATTATAATTAACAGTCTCATTCCGTGCGCTCGAAACAGCTTTTGTTTGACCTCAAGGTGGCTCCCCCCGCGCCCCGCCCCGCCAGTCCCCCACTCCCCGCCCCCAGCTTTCAGCTGGACTTGACTGCCATGCCAAGCGGATGCAGGGCCTCACTGTCCAACAGCCAGGTGCCTATTTGGTAGAGCAGCTGTGAGTACCAGTGTATGCCTGTGGCCGCATCTGGCGCGGCGGGCGCATCTGGCACGGGCGCGGGGAGCCGGGCGTCCCCGCCGCTGTGGTCCGTGCACGAGGGCGCGAGCGCCGCCAGGAGCGCGTGCGCCAGGCGGAAGGGCGCGAAGGCCCAGTGCGCCCAGCTGTGCTCTTCGATGACGGCGTAGCACGAGGCCAGCACCCGGTTGATTAGGATGGTGCCCTGGGCGGTGAGGGGCGCGTAGGCGCCCGTGGCCTCTTCGCGGAGCGTCACGCTGTGCACGGCAGCAGGCAGCAGTCTGCGGTCCCCATTGCGCTCCGCTACCACGTATACAAGCTGCCCAGGCCGCACACGGCTGGCGAAGAGCGCCCGGCGCCCCGCCGCGCCCCCTGGCGGCGGCCTCAGCCTGGCCCCTAAGCCAGACGGCTGCGCGGGCTCCCCGGCGGCCTCCGAGTGGTTGTGCGGCGCTACGAAAAGCAAGTGCGCGGCGGTCAGCAGCAGCCGCTCCCGCGGCTCCCTGGTCTCGATCACGTAGAAGACCTTCTTGGCCCCATCCTCGCGGTCGAGGAAGGTGAGGAAGTCGCTGTAGAGAAGCCGGCCCTGGTCATCAGCCGCCAGCACCCTGTCCCCGGGACTCAGGTCCTTCACTAGCTTGGTGCCGCCCTTTTCCAGGTGCACAGTGGCAGATCCCGGGAAGCAGCCACCCGATTTGGCGGCCACCGAGTTCTCTGCAGCAGGGAGGCAGGTAGAAAAAAAGGGAACAGGGTGTGAGCCTTGAGAAGGAGGCACGTGGGGGGACGGGGTGTACTTGATACCAGGCGCGCGGCAACAGGCAGGAGAGGGCTGGCACAAGCCTGGAACCGCCCTCTGTCCTCAGTCCCGCCACATGAGTCTCCAATTCACTTGCTAGCAAATCTCTCTACAGACTTTTAGCTGGGAGGTAATAAAGGCTGGGGCTGGCGTCGTTGGTTGGAGGTCAGCTCCTTCCTGCCACCCCACTTCTCTGCTCAAACTGCCCCCACCACCCCTCCTGGCCACAAATGTAGAAGGTATTTGTCATCCACTTAAATTCCTCAGAAAGCCGCCTTCAGTTCACCCAGAGCTCCTGGCTTCCCCAGGCCCTCCCACTGGGAGCGCGGGTTGTGGCGCCTCCGCGGGGTTGCCCGGTGCGTTCTGCTGGGTGGTGATGGGGGGCACACCTCGCCCACTGGCTCGGAGCGCTCGGCGAGGCCCTTGGGGTTTGCTTGCGCGGGGAGGGGTGCACAGTGAGAGGTGGCGGGGACAGTTGTAGCAACTGGACAAATACGCCAGGGAGCTGGCTGAGGTATGAAAGTCTGGGGCTTGCGTAGATTTTCTAATGAAAATCCAGTAACAAGCTCCGCATCAGCATTGTCATTTTTGGAATAAATGGGAGGTACTCTTGGAAGAGAGGACACTTGCATCGCCTCCCCTCCCCTTCGTCGTCTCTCGCTCTCTCCAGCTCTCTCACCGCCCCCATCCCTATTTGCTCAGGTGCAGCCCCCCCCCCCAACCCGAGTGCCAATTCACACACAGACTCTCCAAAACCCCAGCCCTCACAAGCACTATTTGCACAGCACGGCCTCTCTTCCAAAGCACTCAAGATGTGTATTTGAATTTTAAATGGCGGAGCCTGCGCGGAGCGCTGGAAGCAGCCGCGTTCTCAAGGCCCCTTGACTACCCCTCTTTCGGGATCTCTTGCCGCTCGCTCTGTGGCTCACTGTCCCGAAGACAACAATTGAAGCCTGGGGAGGAGCGGAGGGGGCCGGGAAGGGGGTGGGGAAAGTCCAAGTCTTCTTTGCATTCCAATCTCCAGGATCATACTTTTTGCAAATAAGAGAGCGCGAGAAAGAATCTTCCTGCCGGAATTACAGAGGATTTTTAATCTTCTCATCAGTTTCTCTGGCATGAAGCGCGGGGCTGGCCGTTCGAGCCCTGCTTTAGCCCCCCAGAATGCGACCCGGGACACCAGCGAGACCGCGTCGTTGAGTCACACGACCCTGCTTGACACACGCTAAATCGTGCCCCCGAGCCCCGTGTGCGCGGAATTCTAATGAGCGGCTCTCCAGGCCCTCGGCATTCTTTTCTCCCCGGGAGAGAGCCTGCGAGCGGGATTACCGCTGCTCATTTGGGAGAAGCCACTGGGAACCCCCGCCAGGGGGACCCCGAGGACCGGGGTGGCCCCAAGTAGGCCGTGCTTTAGCACGGCACCTGCCTGGAAAGTAATAGCCCCCAGCCTCTGCTGGAGCCAAATAAATATTCTGGGACCCTGCTGCCTCCAATTCTTGTCCCAAAAGCCCAGCAGAAAGAGTCGGGGCTACAGAAGGTTCAGGTGGCCTAGATAGAGAGCCACCTGCCCTTTCTCCTCACAGCCTAGACTCTCCACTCTGCAGGATCTTATGCTTTCCCCAGTCACTCTCCCCCTCACACCCTTTCTCTGTTGTTGCAAGAAACCTTTATTTATTTCCTTTCCCTACAGGAGTGTGTCTTGACACTTTAAAAGTGTTTCTCTACTGAAATATGTCATTACAATATCGTTTAGGAGCCAGGCAGGCAGAAAGAGGAGTGGAGGGGAGGGAAGCAGAAGGGCAAAACAGCTCCTCGAAATCACCGTTAACTGTTTTGCTAAATGCATCAATTTATGCGGAGAGATGGGTTTTAAATCATCTCCAAGCTGGGGTGTCTGCTCCTGTATAATGCCTCTCTCTCTCTCCTAGCTATTCCTTACCAGCGACAGCATGTGGCGTTGCAAGCCCAGGGAAACCAGTGCGAAACAAGAACTGGAGCAGGGGTGGCCCAGCTGCAGACCCAGAGCTAGCTGAACTCGGCTTTCCTGGCCCTCGCCCACTGCGCAGGGGCGTCCCAGCTGGGTTCTTAATAGCAACAGATGCTTCTGGGCTTGCGGCCCTCCAGATGTTGGAAGTTGTTAACTCAGAGGTTTATTGGTTCCCACCAGGGCTCTTCCCAAAGACTTATCCCTTAAGAGTTAGGCTAGTTTAGAATCCACTGGCGCTCAGCAGGGAGGAGACAGGACAGAGAATTAACACTCTCTCTGCACAGAAAATTGAAGATGGGGGGGGGTGCGGGCACACACACACACCATCTGAAAATAAGCCAGGCTGTAAAGTGAGGCTCTCTCCTTTCCAGCCCTATTCATCCCTTCTTCCCCCAACACCCCAAGTCATTCTTCCCAGCATCACCACTGAAAACTCAGCTAAGAAAGCCACCTCTCCTGAACATCCAGCTTTGAGAAGCTTTGCCTGAGAGGGAGGCCCAAAGATGGGGGGCAATTCCAAGATTGAGGGGCATCCCACAGTGGAAAGAGACTCAAGGCATCATGGAATCTCTTCTCCCTCATGTCTCTCCCAGTAGACACACCACTCTCTCTTTCCCAGGATGGAGGGGTGGGGATAGGGGTGTCCCAGCCATAGGAGGAGGTATAGCTGACAGGGCAGATCTGCAGATGAGGGGGTTTGGGGGTGGTGGATACTCAGAAAGGCTATTGTCATCACCTTACCTGCTTTCACAGAGCAGTGGATGTGTGCCTTAGACTCATAGTAGACCCAGTCGAAGCCGGCCTCCACGGCCAGGCGTGCCAGCATGCCATACTTGCTGCGGTCACGGTCTGATGTGGTGATGTCCACTGCACGGCCCTCATAGTGTAGTGATTCCTCTGAGTGGTGGCCGTCTTCGTCCCAGCCTTCAGTCACCCGAAGTTTCACTCCTGGCCACTGGTTCATGACTGAGATGGCTAAGGCATTCAGCTTGTCCTTACACCTCTACAGAGAGAAGAGAAAGAAACCCAGGCCTGATAAGTTAGCGCCTACCACCTGCGCCCCTCTCCTGGGTCCTGTCCTTGGCGGTCCCCAGCTGCTGCAGCTCTGGTTCCTGCTCAGAGTAAAGCTGCCTAGTAAGGCCAGTGGTGGGCTGTGCCAAGGAGTGGGGGATAGAGGATGAGAATGGGGCCTAGCCTACACAGAATGAAGGCAAAGATAGGAGGAGGTGGGTGGCAGCTGCCAGGGGGAGAAGGGCCTCCTGGGAATGGGCTGAGACCCTCTCCAAATTATCAAATAGTTAATGTTCATCTTTTGACTAGATAAGCAGATAAAGTTTCTTAGGAGAAATACAAAACTGCTTGTTTCAAAAATGAACATAAGAGCCCACCAGGTGCCCTTAGGTGACACCCTTGGACCCCCAAAAGGTCTTCCACTTTGCCTGCTTCCTTCCTATGGACACATCTGGCCACACCTGTGCAAGCTGTACCTTATCCCTGGGATAAATCCCTCACTGGGACCCTAACAAGTTCACAAGAAGGCTATTTCTTTGCAGGAATAAAGAAAAGCACACTGAATGCATCTTGAAGAATGAAAAGCCAGGCGTTATCTTGGTACCCTCCCTCTCACCCCCCTGACTGAGGTGAAAATGAAGTAAGAAGGAGGTGGGAAGCTGATAGCAAAGCTTGAGGGGTGGTAGGGCCCCAGAGAGAAAAGCACCCAGGTGAGTTATAATTTTCAATATAGGCCCAGGCCAGGATGACAAACATTCTTTATCTGGACAACCACATTCTTTTTCTCTGTAGAACTCTTTTCTGCCTGGCTTTTCTGTGGTCTGATTGTGTTTCTTGTTTTCTTTAACCTGTTTCCTTCCTCCCCTCTTGTTTTCTTGGCTCCAGTGTAGAATGGTGTCCTGCAAGTTTGAAGAGCAAACTTAAGAGGGGATGGGAGGAGGGGGTGGGTGTGTGAGTGTGTGGATCAGGCAGGGGACTTTGTGTGTGAGAGAGGAGTGGGGGATGGGGAGCAGGGGAGGAAGACATTGCTGCCAGAGACCAGGGCGCTGAAGGGCCTAGAGGCCTCACCAGCCTCTGCCTTCCACACATAGGAAAGGAAGTTACTTGCAGGAGCAAAAGCAAAAACAAAACCCTGTTGGCTAGGTTTAATAAAAACTAAGAGGCACTGCTTTCTGAGGTAAACAGAAGGGGAGGCTAGAGAGAGACATTCAGGCGACTTCTGCTAAGGGTAGATCAGAGACCTTCATCTCCAGAGCAGAGGCAATGGCCCCTTCAAAGAAGCCTCATTCCAACAAAGTTTCACTGTTGGTTGAAAAAAAAAAACCCACCAGATCCCCTCTCTGAAGACCCTCAGTACAGCAGCACGCGGGGGCTCTCTAAGTGGGGAGGGACATCGTAGTGTAGGACTTCTGCCCACTTTTAAAGGGGGTGTGATGGACTCTTCAACAGAAGTTGTATTTGGCAGCAGTAAGAAGACCAAATAATAATACTGTTTCTGTAGAGTTAAACATACAAGGGGTTAGGGAAACTGTCCTTGTAACAGGTCAGTCCTGGCAGATTTGGGGGCTGCAAATTCTTATATTTCTTGAAAAGAAAAAAGTTGGGAGAGGAACATGTGCGTGAGGTCATCTTGAGGAATGAACGGATTTTACATGGAAATCAATCAGTAAACCAGGGTCAGTTTAGCGCCAAGAGCTAAAGCCTGGATGCGCGCAGGCGCACACTCAGACAAGCGCACAAACAGAACCCCCCTCCGCCCCCATCCTCAGCCTCCACTCAGCTTCCTTCTTGAGGGAGGGGGAGAAAATGACGTTTTAAATGGCAGCAGAGCCGTGGGACAGTGAGGCGGAGAGGACTCAGTCCCACCCCCAAGACCACTTGGAAAAGATATGGAGGAACCCACGCCAGGAGTCCCAGGCCGAGATAGGCGGGGTGAGTGGAGGTGGAGGTGGTGGCGCTAGGGATTCGCCGAGGCCAAGTGGCTGGCGGGGGGTGCCCCAGTGCCCTGTCTCCTCCCCCAGACCTCAGGATTCTGCCGTGGGATTCTGTCTGGGTCCCGCGCAGTCTGGGCCAGTGGCTACAGGACGCTCCCGGCTCCAGCTCCCGGGGCTGCTCGGAGACTCAGGCCAGAGAGTCTGGCGCAGGCGGGTTGTTCATTCACTGGGTCATGGGCAGGGAGGCTGCCCGGTGCTGTGCAGTCACCGTGAACCCACGCGGGGCTGCCTCAGTGCGGGCTTTGTGTCCGCGGAGGCAAAGTTGCTCCACGCGACTCAGCTCCCTGCCCTGCTCCCGAAGTGCCACACGAGCAAGTGAGGCGAGGAGGCAGGCGCTTGTTGGTGGAACCTGCCATTGCAAACGTGCGGGCGGGCTTCCCCAGCCCGGGTCTGGGAAGGGCCCAGACTTCCAAAAGACCCCTTGCTGAGCACCACCACCTCTCCTTGCCCCTCCAGCGGGCGGAGACCTCCCCACGCCCACACACGCCTGGCGGCGGCAGAACAAACAAACAAACGAACAGTACAGGCACCATGCCCTTTTGGGCTCAGACCCCCACTCTGGCCTCCAGGCCCGCTCCTGGCCGGTCCTCTACCCCTAACGGCGCCCCCTCACCACTCTCGCCCTTCGAGAGGGCACCCGGGAGAGTGGTCTGTCTGCGTTCCCTTCTCCCGGGTTAATATTAACCAGGAGCTCATGCGTTTAAGAGCTGCTCTGAAAGTTCCACTGGGGAAGATCTTGCCATGGTTGAGGGACTTGGGCAACAGTCACTAGGACCCAAAGACAACACGAGGCACGGAGAGAGACTAGATAAGATCGGAGAGGTTTAAGACGCAAACTTGAGCGCAAAAGCGAAGGGTATAATTAAAAATTAAGACCTCCTCGCCGCCCGCGAAGCCTACCTGTCCCCTGTCCTCCTTGACCCGGTCCTTGGCTCTCCCCATTCCCGTCTCCGCCCCCTTTAACTTAGAATCTGCAGAAGAGGAAAATGCCAGAGAAGGGACAGACTAGGGTGCACATTTCAGCTGCCACCTCTCTGGCCATCGCGTTTTTAGGGTAACTGCGGAGAAGTGTCAGTCCCGGAATCTTGGCCTGGCCCTACCATCGCACCCCACCTTGGGCCACCCCTCCCCCCCGCCTTTTGTGCTGGGAACGGGAATGACCACTGCCGAAGAGGGAGGGAAAAAGTAATTTTTTTCGTTTCGTTCGTCTGAGGGAAGTTGACAGAAGGTCAGAAGTTCAAAAGCTGCCAACGAAGTTGCGTGCGCGAGTGGTTAGACGTGGGGCTGGCGCGAATGTGGGTTCCCCGGACCCTGGGCGGGGGGCGCGGGGCCGGTGAAAGCGGGCGGGGGTACTGGCTGCGGCGCGCGGAGCGGGGAAAGCCGGGAGGCCCGGCGGCGGCGCGGAGTGGCGTGCGCCCGGCCGCGCACGCCGGCACCACACCCCTGCCTCCTCCCCGCGCGCCCCTCCCCCGCCGCCGCCCGGTTAATGAGGGTGATTAGCGCCCCATTAGGATGAGCCCCACGCTGGCGCTTCTGGAGCTAATTCCTGCGTGTGCGCGTGCAGGGCAGGGACTGCGCGGCGGCGACGGCGGCGGCGGCGGCGACCGCGTGAGCCTAGCTCGGCCGCACAAACTGAAACCCTAGCCGCTGAGATCGATAACCGAGGAGTAAGTGGAGCTGAAAATGCGTCTGTCTTGGGGCTCGGCTCTGCTGGCCGGCAGCTTTGCAGAAGGGCGCCGAGGACCCAGAGCTCAGCGCAGAGGGCGCGGGGCTTGGGTGGGGGGCTTTTGCACCCGACCAGGCAGACGCCTACCCGCTCTGACTCGGGACCTTTGGGGCTCCCCGACCCTTTATCCAGAGAGACTCTGGGAAGGTCCCCGTGGGGAAGGAGGATGACCCGGGCGGGGGTGGGGGGAGCAGCACGGCAGGCGATCCGGAGAACTTCCTCCAGACGGCCGCACGGCCTCCCCCACCCCCGCCCCGACCCGCTGGGGCCACGCAGAGTTAACCGTGGCTTCCAAGTGGCACAAGCGCGCGCGGCTGCACTCTCTGGCCATGTTTAAGGTGGTCGGGAGCAGATGAGGGAGAAGGAGGGATGAGAATCCATTCCGCTGCTTCCTGTCCTCCTCCAGCGGCCAGCTGGAGCTGGCTCCCGAGCTGTCCCTTCTCTTCCTTCGCTCCCCCAGCAAGCCCTGGAATCAGGTTGGAAGCCCCTCTGTCCCCAGGTAGCTCCTCTCTCCTCCTCCCTTCGCCACACTTGCGCCCCACCAGCGCCACTCCGTCAGCCTGTGCGCTTCTAGCCCTAAAGGTAGGACTTGAATATTTTAATAGGGCAATAAAAAGGATGTTGACCTATATTTGCAAGGAAACCCATTTCTAGCTTCAGTTATGTACGCGTGGAGTTTCAGAAAGTCTAGAATTGGCAGGTAGATTTTTAGCCCAGCTGTCTCGGAGGTGGGCTGGGAAAAGGCTTAATGTTTTGCTCCGATTCTCTTTTCCACTCCCTTTCCCCACTAATATTTATTCTCTCGTAATTTCTATGCAGGCTGATTGAAACGAGAGTGATGCAATGCCAATAAGTTCTAAGTCCCTCCCCCTAAGGTACCTTGGCTTTGGAGAATGAAAGAGCATCCTTAAAGAAATATCAATATGTTCACACTCCGATGAGCACAATTACACTCGATGGAATCGCAATGCAAGCTATCCGATACAGTGGTGGACAGCCACAGCTGCTTCTGCAGCCACTGCCTTTTGTCAAAAACCTCTTGCTGGCTTTTCCAATGGAAGATTCCCTGAAGGGGGGCGGTGGGATGGGGGGAGTCATGGGAAGAAAAATCACAGAGGAGTAGGGGCAAAGTCTGAGCTTAGAGCTCTCGTGCTGTAAGCCTACATTTGTAGCAGTGACCTAGAGAACGCTTTATGCTTTGGGGAGGGGGGGGGATTCCCATCCCCTACCAGCCTCTCCACTTCTGACTCTCCAGTAAAGCCGCAGTCTCGCAAAAGCCAAATACCCTGCAAGTGAAAGGGCTCTCCAAGTTATATGGCAGAGCAGAACCAGGATGGAGCAGGCCATCCTGGTAGGACTGAGATGAAATCAGGGCCATACAAATGCGATCACATCACAAGCGTCCTCATCCCCAGCTCATACCCTAAACTTCTGGACCCAGAGCCGCCAGGAATTCCTCCTAGGAGAGGAAGGGGTAGCAGGTGGGTAGGAACGCAGGGGGGAAGGAAAGAGCGAAAGCAGCCCTTAAATCTGCTTAAAAAGCCAAGAATCCAAGTCTAGGAGGGACGGGTTCCACGTAGCCCCCTTTAAAGAAACACATTCCACGCCCCAGCGCTGGGTTTCTACCTGAGTCATCAGCCGGTCCGCTCCGGTGTTTTCTTCATCCTTAAATATGATGTCAGGGTTGTAATTGGGGGTGAGTTCCTTAAATCGCTCGGAGTTTCTGGAGATCTTTCCTTCGTATCTTCCACTAGCCCCTAGGGTCTTCTCAGCCACATTGGGGATAAACTGTTTATAGGCTAAAGGGGTCAGTTTTTTGGGGTGCCTCCTCTTCCCAAATCCCCTGCCGGGTCCGCACGCCAGCCCTGAGTACATCAGGAGTGAGGAGACGAGGACCACCACCAGACATCTCGCCAGCAGCAGCATCTCGTCCATGGAGCCCAATTACTTACGAGCTCTCCCGTGTGTGTCTGTGCGCGCGTGTGAGCGCGCGCGCGTGTGCGTGTTCGCTCTCTTTGCGCTCTCCCTTTCTCGCTCCGGCTCCCTGGCTCCCTTGCTCTGTCTCCCTCGATCTCTCTTCCTATATAACCTTGCCTGCTGCCGCTGCGTGGGACTCTCCACCGATCCCCAGCCAGACAGGTGCTGGAATGGCAGGCTGCCGGTCGCTGATAACGGAACACATCGGAGTTGGGTCTCGAGACAGCAATCAAAAGACAAAAAGAGTCTGATTTTAAATGGTAGCAAGCCTAGAGACGCTTGTGAGAGAGGCTGCCTTTAGTACTATATTATAGCTGGCAGGGGCGTATCTGATTGGCCAAGGCAACACAAGCTTGTCTTCTGATGTTTAACCCTCAAAAAGGCTACATTTTTTTCTCCGTCTGTTGCTGCTGCTGCTGTATTTTCACCTGAAGGCTTCCAGTAGGGGAAAAAAAAAATCTTTACGAAAACAAAGGTGGGAGGGAGGGCGGGCGGAGGCATATTTCTTGGGTTAACATCAATTATACCCTACTTTGTGTCTATGTGTTTCCCCCTTTACTTTCTTAGGAATGGTAGGTGCTTCAGTTAAAACCAACTTAAGTTTTTAAAGGACAGTGTAGACACCCCACCCCCAATGCTTTGATCATCAAACAAATATCCTTTTGAGGGGCAAAGCCTGCCAGCTCTTCTTTAAAACTGTTAGGGATTTTAGCAGGCAGGTCAGGTCTCCCCATCTTAAGGAAGGAGGCAGTTGAGCCTCTGAAAATTACAAGTGACCACAGCTTAAAGTGGTGTGTTGAAGTGCTTCAAATGCCTTAGCAAAACTCTAAAATACTGCCACTTTGTGTTTGCACCAGTGCGTTGTTTTTGAAACTTTTGAAGATGGGATGGGGTATGTTCAGGGGCAAGTACAGAGTGAGGTGGCGGGCTGTCAGGGGCCAGGGGGGCAAGTGGGTCGTGGGTGCTGGACACCTCAGCTCTCTGAAGGGAGCCTGAGCTTGTGTACGCTGTGGGCGGAGGCTTATTGTGCCTGGAGGCCAGTAGTGAGTGGGCAAGGCTTTGCAAACACCACCCCCACAGATCGATGGGAGCAAAGTGCAGGGCCCAGGGCTGAGTGTAATGTTAAATCAAGACTCCTTGCCACGGTGCCCAGTGCTGGCAGAATATAGAGCTGACCATGGCCTGGACGCTGCCTCCCAAATGAATGCAAAGGGCCTGGGGAACCCATGTTCTGGACATGGAGGTCTCACAATGGCTATCAGCAATGCATTCCCATTTCTTACACTTCTTGGAGAAAAGACACGTGAACACACATTCTTTCTTAAATTAAACCAGAAAATGAAACCCCGTTGGCTCCCTTTATACAATCTTTCTTTCTCAGTCTTCCTTTCCACGATAATTCCTCTGGAGTGGGGCAAGGGAATTGGAAGAGAGAAACACTGACCCTGAGAAATAACCAGATACTGTGAATGTTGGCCTCTGAAGTCTGTGTTCTGCCTTGACCCCAGACACAGCAGCAGAGTGAGGAGAGCAAGTCTGGTTCAATCAGCACAATAATGAAAAGTGGCCATCAGTCTATCATACTTATCCCAAAGGATTTTTTTTAAAGGGGGCATTTTAAGAGACATCTACTTCAATCTAGAGACATCCGCATCATGCATTCTTACTAGCCATCCATGCCCCTCTCCAAAGGCTGCCAAGTTCCTCCATCCCAGCTCTCTTCGATTCTGGGCTTTGTAAAGACTTTCAAATACCCAGTGTGAGGCACAGTGCTAACCCTTGGGCAAAGCAGGAAGGCAGCACCCAGGTTTATCAAGGAAGACTCAGACAGCAACGAAGAGTTCTCCACTTAGCTGGAGACAATATAACTCTGCTGATAAACCTGGGGCTTGATTTAGTGTGTGTGTGTGTGTGTGTGTGTGTGTGTGTGTGTGTGTGTGTGTGCGCGCGCGCACGCGTGCACCTCTCTCTCTGTTGTATGCTCTTAGGGAAAACTGATAGAAAAAAAGATACAGCATTCTATTCCAAAGAGGGTCGGCTTGTTTGATGTGGTTACCTGGGGCAGCACGTGTTGATGTAATATCACTGAATAGTGCTGAGTTTAAGAAGCCATCCGGCCGGCCGGTGTGGGATACTTGCAAACCTTTTGATCACCCTCCCCCGCCTTGGCATCTCCTTGTACCCCAGTACATTTCCTTGCCATGCACCTCTTCCACTCTTGGCGCCCTCCCCTAAAGCCTCAGGTGCCTGCACAGAGCAAGAGTATTCTGGCTGCGACCCGGAGGGCAGAGGCCTGGGACACCCCCCCCCCCACCGTGGGCCGCGCGTGCACCTAGCGGCTGGCGGGGCTCCTGCGACGCCTACACGCTGGGGAAGCGCGCGTCCAGTGTAGGCAAATAAACACACGTGGAAAAAAAAAATCTTACTTCTGCAACCTACGGGCCGTGGGACTAGAGTTTGGAAAGCCAAGCCCCCAGCTGAATAGAGTCCAGGCGGCAAGGGTAGAATGGGCAGTGTGACCTGGGAGTCCAGCCCCGTCCTCTCCGATCAGGAAAAGGCTGAAAGAGACTCCAGAGGCGCGGTTCCTCCCTCTCTGCAGAAACCTGGAAGGGGACGCGGCCGGGCACGGCGTTCGCGCTCCCGGGGAGGCTCCGAGGAAGGACGGCCGCCGAGGCCACTGTCCTCCGCACCGTCCCCAGCCTGCCCTGGAAGCCGGAGAACCTGTCAGCAGCTGCCTTCCTAGGCTTGACTGGATCCTGCGATCCAAAGAATGATGGACAAATCACCGTAAAATCCTCCACTGACGCCTTCCAGAGAATCTCGGGCTGGGGTTGTGTGTGTGTGGCGACTGGGGACAAAAATTTAGGCGCAGTTTGTCTGCATTGTCCAGGGAGCTCGGGACTCTTCCTGGGCGCTCGGCAGCATTGCTTCGAGAGGCGGCGGTCTCGGCCCCCTCCCCCTCCCACTTCCCCTTTCCTTTCATCTCACCCACTTCCCATTTCCCAGACACCAGACACTCAGTCCGTCTTCCACCTCCAGACACCAGATGGCTCCCTCTCTTTGCCTTTCCCCCTCCAGACAGTCCGGCCCCTCCTTCTGCAGGTCAGCGGGTCCACCCCCACACCCACACCCCTGCCTTTGCCTCTGCCTGCGATGGCCCGAGAGCCCAAGATCTCCGGCACTGTCCAGCGCGGGCTTAGCGGCCTCGGGCTCCTCTGTCAGGTGGCTGCACTCTCTCCGTCCCCCCTGGGCAGGTCTCTCCCTGCGTCCCACCACCCTCGCTGGTGCGTGTGGCTGCCTCTGTCTTCTGCCCCCAGCCCCGCAGGAGTCGCCCTTCCCCGGAACGGCGCCCTTCCCTGCCTTCTGGCCCCAGCCGCTAGATGGCCTCCTCACTCTGCCTTCAGTGTCTGCAGTGTGCTTGGAAACCGAGTGCAGAACCACATTGCTCTGGCAAAACCACATTGCTCTGGCAAGTGGGGCTAGTCCCAGATTCTGCGCATACCCTCCATCCCACTTCACTGGGTGCCCACTAAGCTCTTGTCTGTCACACATTTCTTCAAGATCTCCACTTCCTGTTACCAGCTCTAATAAACTGACTGCTCATCACCTCCGTTCTCTTTGATTTATGTTCCTGATAATGATACTTCCTTGTCATCAACTAGTTTCAGTTTCTCGCTAATTTTGTCAAATTGAATCTCTGCATTTCCTTGTAATTACTGGCCTGGAGCCCCCGCTCTGTAGTTTGGAGGGATGATGCCCTTTGGACTGTTCTAATCCTCAATTCATTCTGCTAGGTGAGGACCAAGGAACGACGTGGCCTCCCAGCTAAGGGTTGGGGTTTCCAGGTCCTGGACAGCACCAGGATTTCTGGGGATCAGGAAGGTCAGGGAGGGCTGCTATGATTCATGGATGGTGTCCCAGAAGCAGGCAAAGGACTGCATTAGCTGCTGGACGTCCTCCCTCTTACTGTTTCTACCAGAGTCTTCAGCAGTGGATCCCCATGTCCACCTTCACTGCATCTGAGACTGGCCTGCAGCAGTGGTGACAGGAGTAGCTGGAAAAATAGGCAAGGCAGACCGGACAACTGCAGCCAGGTGAAGTGACTCTGAGGGTTTTTTTTTGTTTGTTGTCATTATGGCGTTTGATACTGACTGTAGGCCTTACTCGGTAGAGGGGACAGAAAGCACCTTCAAGGGCTGGAAACCTGGACAAAGCCCTGCTCCACTATGACTGCTGTTAGAATCCTCCTCTCCCTTGACCTTCTTGATTGAGGTAATGTCTCTAAAGGAGGAAGGCAGACGATAGATGATATATCCTGTGATTGCAGTCTTATGCAGTCCCTATGATTGCAGTCTTTTCTCAGTTTTGTGAACCAAATGCTTGTTGAGCACTGATTATGCATTTCAGGTGTGTGTGGCTTATTTGATTCTCTCTCACACCTCATGAAACCTCCCTTCTCCAGAACTTCCTCACTCAGCATTTCCTTTGCTCCACAAATGGTAGACAAAGAGCAAGTCAGATGCTGTCAAGTTGATTCCGATGTAGAGTAACCCCATGTGATAGAGGAGAACGGCTCTACAGGCTTTCTTGGCTGAAATCTTAATGGAAACAGGTTACCAAGTCCTTCTGCTGCAGAGTTGCAAGAGAGGTTTGAACTGCCAACCTCTAGGTCAGGTGATGAGTATTCAACTGTTTGTATGCACTACCAGGACTCCTTTGAAGAGGTATTTTGCAAATGAAGAAATGGTAATGCAATGTTTAGTAACCTTTGCAAGCTCAAGGTACACTCCTAGCTAGGAAGATGTTTTGTTAGATACCAAGGTGAAAAATAGCTTTAATGTGGACATTTAACTTGATATAGGTTGCTTTGTGAACTGGTGCTAATTTTCTCTCTTCAAACTGCTGCTCCTTCCTGAATCACACAGTCTTCATTTTAAGTAATAGGTGTT